AAATCTATTTTATCCTTATAACGTGACATGGAGTATGTTGAATCGTGTATATTGTTTATTTCCTAAAGGCAGTTGCGTAAATAAAAGTAAAACTTAACACAATGTTGAAAAGATTTAATACTCAGTTGAAAAGATGTCGATTAATTTATTTGACGATATTGAATATTTTAGATGTATATAAATTCCAGAGGATTAAATTCAAATATATCAAAATTAGGTGATTAAATAAAAATCTCAACCTCATTTAAGCGACAAAATATTATATTGTGGCTCAACTTGTGTTTGGCTCCATTATTATTTTTTTCATTTTTTTCTCTTTTATTTTCAATCGCCGAATCTTTCATAAAATAATATGCGTAAATAAAAAACTTTTCATTAAATCGATTGGATATTGAACAATAAAAAAAGATTCGATTAGTTACACGATTTAATTATATTGAATATAGTTATCATCAAATACGTCATTTTTATGTAAAATAATCACTTGGACTAAAATAATATTTGATATATAAATTATGAGCTCCGATAATTTGGATTTTTAATCCATGCATCAAGGGAACATTTAACATATCCTCAGAAAATACATTTCAATTATAGTAATACAAAATTGAGGCCAACTAATTTTTCATCTTGATTATTCTAACATTTGAAAAAAATTTATGTATAAAAGAAATTCGATCATTTTTAGGATTTTTTTTTATTGATACTTTTTCCTCTCGATCAATTAATTTTTTAAATAATCTAATAAATTTTTTTACGTCATTTAGAAAAATTTCTAATAAACATTCAAAAAAATTTTAATGTCAAAAGAGACATAATGTAAAAAATTAAGAATTTTGATAATAAGTCAACTTTAAAAATTTATCAACGATTATACGATAGTCGAATGCATAAATCTTCTACATTGTCTCTAAGTTTATTTCGAGAACTATATCATAAATATATCGAATGATCTAAATGAATATAAAAAATAGTTAAACGTACATCAAACGTGTATGTTTAAAAATGAGTATAACATTTTCTTTTTTCTTAAAAAATCAATTATCTTATTAATGTTTATTATTTTTTCCGACAATTTTCTCAATATAATTTACATTATTTTCCTAAAAAAATATTATGTGGTATGACGTCAACTATTTTTTTTTTTTTGACGTAAAAATTCAAATCAAGCAAAACAGCAGAACCATACACGCATAGGAAGACCATTAATAGTGATTTTAAAAGTGAAGTGAGATATTATGGGATATTCAAGGGTAAAATAGGAAAACAAAAAATACATCTTGAATTAATAATACTCGCCACATTCACTCTTTTATTATAGTTGGGATACTCAAAGTCGGAGACAAGAACGAGGTTTTGCGTTAAAATAATATGTTTGGGCCACATTGTCTTCTTAGAATGCATTTTAGAATAGTGAATTAATGAAGAATTCGTGGTTAAAAATAAGAAAAAAAATTTGAATTTACGTGTAATATTATTTTATTAAAAATGTGTAGTTATTTTGTAAATATTGGGGGATCAAATAAAGGCAAGTTAAAATATTCGTGTGATTTTATTAGTTTCTCTTTTCATCACTTTACGTAGGATTGGACAAAACTCCCAAATCAAACCATCTAAATCAAATCAAACGGTTCTTCTTAAACTAAATACTTGAATGGATATCTGAATTGCGAATCCAGGCGTTCGATTCGGTTCTCAGTTCTAAACAAAAAATTGAAGAATCGATTTTCCTAAATTTTTTTTATCTTAAATAAGTCAAATTATTTTATGTTTTCCAGATAAATTTATTAACTATTTAATTTAGCTCAAGCTAAAAAAAATATAATTTTTCTATTTCTAATTTTCATTCCATGTCCAATTTAATCAAATTGACCTAAGGTTTACCCAAATATCTTATTCTACCATAGTGCCCTTTTTTGGTTAGGGAGAAATTGAATTGGAAGCTCGGCTGTACCGTTCTTCATTATTGTGAGCTCGCTATATTTCCCTTCTCGTGATTTTAACAGTCAAATTTATGAAGAATTCAATAAAGAGATATGCAAAAGATATCATAGGATTGAATTACATTATTTTACAAGAACTAAAAATGGACACGTCATTAATTAAATTAATGTAGCATTGTTGTAAATATTAAAAAAATTAATTATTATACGAGAATCAAACTGAATCCAAACGGTTCCATAATTAATTTTGAACCCGACGATTCCATTTACTAAATACTCGAAAATTCGGGTTCGATATTGTTCTTTTTAGAAGCGAACCGAATATGAAAATATACAACCCCAATCTTACATTTTAGTAGAATCTAACGAGGCTTGAGATATAGGAGCTCATGTCCGAGCCTCATTTTGAGAGTAAATTTTGTAAAAAGTGACTTTTTTGGAGAATCGTCGTTGAAAAGTAAGAAAAATTTTAAATTTACGTACAAAATTATTTTATTGACAAAATTTATGTTCAATATGAGTTTTGAGACGTTCAAGCAAGGCTTAACTCGTGTTTGAAATTGATAATTTAAAAATCATGTTTTTTTCACTCACGTTCTCAACCAAATATTCTTCCTAAAACCTTTTTTCATTATTTTTTTAATATCTTTTAATCATACGTTCTACCAGAAATTACTTTTCAAATAAGTACTTTCAAATAATTAAAAAAATTGATTCTTCTAAAAAGTCATATTTTTCAGAGAATACGTTCCTAAAAATAAGTGTAATAAAAGATATTCTCAAATAATCAAATCACAAAAGGTTTAAAGTAAAACTATATTTTCAATTGGAATAACTAATTAGCAAGATTTAAAAATCATCCATATTTAATTATGCAATTTTTTAAAATTGAAAATAAAAGAAATCATAAAATGTGTGTATTCACGAGATCCTAAATGGATTAGTTTCATGCAATACAAGTCACGTGGTGTATAAATTATTAAGACTATGTTTGGTGGTTTTAAAATTTTCAAAACATAGTTTTGAATAGTATTTTTTGAAAAATATTTATTAAAAAATAGAAAAAAATTATGAGTTTACGTGTAAAATATTTTATTATATGAATGTGTAGTTGAAAATGATCGTATAGCAAAAATTAAAATAAATTAAAGGATGTCAAACAAGTGCTGAGATTTTATTGAAATATGGGCCAAGAGGAGAATTATGTAATTAAAATGACATTTTTAATCAAAAATAAATAAATAAAATTCCTCCCTGCTCCTTAGGAATCAAATTAATGTAAAGGGAGGATTTCACTGCTGATCCCTAAACTATTTCTCTAGTAGCAATGTAGTATTTAACTTTTAATTGTAACAAGTTGCTCCTTCCTGTGATAATTTCATAATTATTGTCAATCTCAAGAAATATCCAAAATCTTGTTAAATTATCACATGGTTCTAATATATCTATTAAGCTAAGTTTTGCTTCATAATTAGTATCAATTTTAGAAATATAAATTGAGGTAGGTTATCGAGTAGGTCGATTGACAAGTTGACACAATAAAAACAAATTCTTCACAGTATAATGAAGCCCTTGTTTGGTACTTGTTATTTTTAAAGTACATTTTTCTCTCTATTATTTTTAACCACAGATTTCTTTACAGAATACTATTTCAAAGTGCGTTTTGGACAAAAAAAGGGCTCAAACAGGCGTGAAAAATGATAACCAACTTGCTTGTATTTAAACAATTGGGATTGACTTTATGTGAGAACTATATGTTCAGGATCAAGACAAAATTTCACAAATTCCGAATAATTTGGGCAAAATTGCTAAATATGAGATTATTATAAGATGGTAACAAAATGGGACAAGTAGGCGAGACGGAGTCAAAAAATCCTTATTTCTTACATTATTACATATCTATTTATTTTTTAAATATGATTTAGATTTGAAAATATAAAATTAAAAACCCGACCCACGCACTCACCCAATTCCGGGTCCCCCCAACTGGCATAAACTAGATACTTCCAGTTACATCAACCAATTCAGGCAATTGATTCGAGTATCACCGCATTTTTACCAGTCAGCAAATTGGTCTTCGCTCCACCAGTAAAACAGCAAATCAATCCAATAATTTATTGTTTCCTTTTCAACACGCGCATAGATTTCATCGTCTACACTTGTATAAATTTGCTCCCAACTACCTCATTCCTTCAGGTCACATTATTTTCAGAAACAATTCAATACTTAAGCAAAAGTACGGTGACACACTATTTAGTTTGAATTTCGTTGATTGATTTCGATTAATTGAATTTTGAGTGGTTTTTGGCGTCGGAACAGAGGAAAATGGGGAGTTTGAAGGCGATTTTTAGGCACCCGGATGATTTATACCCACTGATAAAGCTTAAAATGGCGATGAGGCATGCGGAGAAGCAGATCCCGCCGGAGCCACACTGGGCATTTTGCTACACTTTGCTTCACAAAGTCTCCAGAAGCTTCGCTCTCGTTATTCAACAGCTTGATACCGATCTTCGTGACGCTGTGAGTTTCCTCTACCTTTTCCTTTTATTATAATATATTATGGATTTTATGCTGCAATTGGCTAAAGATTTTGCTATTTTTTAGTACGAGTACAATTGTTGACTTGTTGTTTATACATAGTTTCTTCTCGTAGATTATTTATACAAAGTTTTCTAGCATGCAAAAGATGTTGGACACAAGTAGATCGAAATATTATGCTTAGCATAAACAGTAATTCAAAGAAGTAAATGATGGATGCATGTTGTATTCTTGCAGTGCTATTATTACTTTATTGTTTTTCAGCAAGTCAGTAAAAAGTTTTAGTTCAAGTAATCCATTTAATGAAATTGAAGATTTGGTGGGAAAAACCAATGTATCCTGCCCCATGTTAGGGGGTTAATGAATACGTGTAACCTTATATAAAAGCTCAAACTTTTAGATTAAGTGGTCCATCTTATATCAGAGTAAGCAAAGGTGTAGGTTCAAGTCTCTCCGCCAGCCATTTAATAAAACTGTTCGCGTGTGAAACTTTGATGGGAAAAAATAATGAATTATGCCCACATACGAGGATATGATGAAATGGAATTGTGCATGTATGAGACTTTGATGGGGATATGCCTACTGGTGATGGAATGTGATGAAATGAATACGTGTGAGGTTTTGATGGGAAAAAACAACGAATCCCGCTTACACATGAGTGGACGAGATATAGTATTTAAATGAATACAGCCCTTATCAAAGGTTTAAGCTTTTAGATGAAATGGTTCTACAAGTATCAAGTATCAGTTATTATATTTTCGTGATGTTTGCCTAAATAATAATTTTATTACAACCAATTTCTCAACTTTGCGAATTAATTTTTCATGTATGAGCAAAAAATGATTTTAACGCCAACTTTCTTCAACTTTTGCAGGTGTGCGTATTTTATTTGGTTCTTCGAGCTCTTGACACCGTTGGTATGCTGTAAAATCTTTTAGTTGCTTTTATACTGTTGTCAAGTGCATGCAATGATTCATGACCAAGGAGTTTGATCTTTTCGGTGATTATAAGGATTGATTCTTTGACATAACCTGTTGCTTTAGATAGTGTGCTGGCAACTTCTTGTTCTACTTATGGTTGTGTACCCAACTTGTGTGTTGTTTTATTTATCCTGGTAACAGAAAACTTTGTCCCCAACACCAAAAAAATGTACAAATAATTCAGAAGGGGAGAAGGGATGTTCATTTTCTTTCTTGAAAAGTGAATTTTCGCATAGTTGTAATCAAACAGATCTCAATCTCTCTTTTCATGAAAGCAAATGAATTATATTCTCCCCATTTCACTGGCAAAATACATTATATTTAAATCATTGATGGTTAGAACTAAGAAGTTAGCTATTACATGGGTAGCATATCACGGCACATTTGTTTCTCTTAAATCAATCAAGTATCTAATACTTGTATTGCTGTCAAACTTCAACAGTATTTCTCGTGATTGCATCCACATTCTCTACTTCATTTGGTCATCATACTCACTTTTTAAGCTATTATTTTGGACAGAGGATGATACAAGTATACACACGGAGGTTAAAGTGCCTATCCTGGAGACTTTTCACCGTCACATATATGATCGTGAATGGCACTTTTCATGTGAGCTTCAAATTTTTTTTTTCTGTCTTAATAGTCTTTTTAACACTCTTGGTTTTTAGTTTTTAAGATTTTATTTCTTTGAAGAAGATTTTTGTGGTTTATTCACTATATTCTTCCGATTCCCCTTTTTATCTCTTTTTTCCTTTTTCCATTCTTTTGGGCAGTGGGAAAATTTTCGATTGTCTTCAAAAATTAGGTCCAGAGGCTTTATGAGCACTGCAACTCTTTTTGGCGACTTAGCCCGAAGATATCGTTCTGGACCCCTAGGACTTCAGGTCCTTGTATGCTCGTCTTCTCTTAGCATATTAAGAAAAAGGAGAAATAAAAGTACATGCTAGCGATTGAAAAATTAGACCAACTTAACCTACTAGGAGTGTTTGAGAAATGGAATCCTCTATCCTGACGTTTAACCACGGCATTAATTAGCTAATTTGGCCATAAAGTTAGGTAGGTCTTGAATTTTTGACCCAGATATATTTAGTCTGGACTTGGACTTCTGCTGCCCTGCTTTGTCTGCCAATGAACAACAAATATCTATTATTCTACGTGTTAATAAAAGTGAATGGGAGGCTTAATCCTCTTCTGGGATAATACAGTTCTGTCATTAATCATCATAGGGATGAGTTACTACTTGATTAGTTGAAGATTAACAAAAGTTGCTGGATTGCAGCCTGCCTATCCTGGTCATGGGCAAGAAAAACTATATCCCAAAGCTGCCTATTGTGTTGTGGGTTGGATACTGGGGGCGGGAGTAGGGGTAAAATGTAATTTGTAATGTTTACATACTATACAGGCTAGATTAGATGGTAGCTGCCTAATCTTGTTTATTCCATTTGCTAAAAGGTGGTACAAAGGACTACAAAGTTCTCATGGATCAGTTCCATCATGTTTCCACTGCTTTTCTGGAGCTTGGAAGGAGGTATCTTTTCTTATCTAGGAAACTATTGTGTCTATTACGTAACAAACTGTGGTTCAATTATTTAGGTATTTGTTCAAAATGTTGGGCTGGTTACTTGTTTGAAAATAACAGAAAATGTCTTATATGAAGGTATCACAAAACCATTGCTAATTGCAGAATCTTTTGCAAAATTAGTTTGTCGCACATGAATTTTTCTGATCGCATATGCTTGTATAGTTAAGCAAATCGAACTTTTACTATAATTAGAAGGCTATCTGGCATCCAATTAGCACCTCATTTTAGGATAGTTGCTCAGATCATTAGTGAAAGTTGAAAATGTAACTTCGAATTTATGATGCGGAAAGTTTCCATTCTCATAAATGGATGCCAGATGGCAATCAGGAATTTCAGAAAGTGCCAACTCAAGTTTTTTCTACCAATTTTAAAACCTTGGTTATATTTCTTTACTTCACTTTCCTGGATGACTACAAAACAGAAAAGGCAGAAGTAAAGAATTTTCAAGTTCATCGGCTCTTAAGTATGAACTTTGATGCTGGGCACTCTTTGATATCTGGGTCCTTAGTACTGTTCACTTGATGAGTATCAGTACTAAGTGGATTGAGGGATTGGAAATTCTGGACTATGGAATCAGCAACTATCAATTGCTTCAAGTCTATCTGTTTACCGTATAATATCTTCTGTTAAGATATATTGCACTTCGAATTATGGTTTGGCATCAGTTGATACTTGCTGCCAGGATCAATTCATATGACAACTTGAACTCCTTTATATCTGCAATTAATTTAAGTAGATTTTTTCAGATCTAAAAGATGAGTTATCTCTGTAATGTAAGTTTGCTTGTGACATTTGGAAAGAAGCAAAAAACTCTAACTGAATTTGTTTTAAGAAAAATCTTACTATATCATTTTTTGTATTTGTTTTGCATCTGAGAACTGGTATTGCACGGTCGCCAAGTTGCATATTTCAATTCTAGTTCTGTGCATACACATTCTTTCTGTGCATGCAAGATAAGTCTTGTTCTTTTCTACAGTTATCAGGAGGCAATTGAGGATATCACCAGGAAGATGGGTGCAGGAATGGCAAAATTTATATGCAAGGAGGTATGTTAAAAATATCATGCCTGAGGTCCATTGTAGTTGCTAATTGTTAATTATCCTTAACACATTAATTAACATCTGGCATGATATAGTTTGATGGGTCATCTTCTACCATTTGATGATTAATCGTGAAGCATTTCAACTATCCTTTGTGCAAGACAGGTTGAATTACTTTGATATTGCGGCTTACAACTTCTTGTTTGGCAGGTTGAGACAGGTGATGATTACGATGAATACTGTCATTATGTGGCTGGACTTGTTGGATTGGGCTTATCAAAACTATTCCATGCTTCTGGTAAAGAAGATTTGGCTTCTGATACTCTTTCCAATTCAATGGGTTTATTTCTTCAGGTATCATTTTCAACCTTGTCCACCTTTTGAGATCTCTATGCCAGCTTATTTATTTGTAATTATTGTAGAAAACAAACATCATCAGAGACTATCTGGAGGATATAAATGAGATACCAAAATCACGCATGTTTTGGCCTCGAGAAATTTGGAGTAAATATGTTAGCAAACTTGAGGTGCATCTCCTTTCCATGATTCATCTGAATTTTAGCATTTTTCTTTATCTTTATCTTTTACTAGGCATCTTGAGTTGCTTGCAAGTATGGAGTTTTTATTAGCACAACTACAGAAAGTTGCATTGTTGATAACTTGATATATATGGTCGTGTTTTATCAGGAACTAAAATATGAGGAGAACTCCGTCAAGGCAGTACAGTGCCTGAATGACATGGTCACAAATGCTTTGGCACATGTAGATGATTGCCTAAAATACATGTCTGCATTACAAGATCCTGCCATCTTTCGATTTTGTGCTATTCCGCAGGTACATATGTTTTTAGTGTGGTTATCAGATTACTTAAGACTTCTCTACCACAGTGTACTGTTTAGTTGTTAAATTCTTCAACAAGATTTGATCTGTAATATGGTGCATCTAGAGCAAGAGAACTGAATCTTAATCATTATTTTTTCTTCAATAGATGTTGACATGGTAACTTAGTTTAGAATTCCTCTTCCCGCCCCTCCCCCTTGCAGTTCTGCTATCTTGTTTTTTTTTTTTAAGATCTTCCTGTAGACAATAGTTCTTCGGTACATAATTCTTTTTGAGAACTAAGCAAACCATGTTCAGTTGCAAGTTGTGAGATCGGGGAGTACTTTAAAAAAACATCTTTGTTATATGCAAGCACATATCATTTTATATTTGACATCTGACGTAAAGATGATCGGCTTCTTCCCTTTCATGGTTTGGAGGAAACTTGAGGATATATCAGCTTCCTGTCTAGATCTAGTTCTACAAAACCTGATCTTTGTCATGTATTAACGGTCGTGTAGTAACTTTTCCAAAGATGTATCTGATTATTTGTCCCCCCCTAATACTAACAGATCATGGCAATTGGGACATTAGCTATGTGCTACAACAACATTCAAGTCTTCAGGGGCGTTGTGAA